GTGACTGATACTCACATCACATGGCTATCGTTGACAGCTAAGTTAGGTGCCAACGATAGCCATGTGATGTGAGTATCAGTCACCTGGAGGCAGGGCTTAAAAGCCTGAATTTTGCCTGAAACTCTCAGACTGAAGAAGTCTCTTGGAGGAGAGACGAAACGTTTCATTAAAGAAGAACCCGTCCAGAGGACCTATACAATTTTTTTTCCTTTGTTATACTTGGTTTATTTGCTGGATGTTCGGCCCCTCAGCTGTTGACCTGCAGTGGCCCCTGGAGTGATTTAGATGAACAGCCCTGATGTAGGAGAAGCTCCAGAGAACCATGTTTGACACATGGACTCAACTGCTTTCACATAAAATCTGTAATGTTTCTCTGCTGACTGCTGTGTGACACAAACTCATGTTTGTCAGATTCTACAGGAGAGTTTTTAAAGGTACATTTCCCTTCATGGGAAGTATCATTTAGTCATTCAGACTAAATTAATTATTTAAACATGAACAATTTGTTACTGTGAGCCCAGTACAAGTTCTTCAAATAGCATCAGTCTTTTCCTAAAGTAAAAATAGAAAAGCCAGGTAACGACTGCACAGTATGATCAGTAAATGGTATGAGTTGGGTGTGGGGCGTAGTGGAAGAATAAAAAATGTCTTTTAAATTAAAGTGAAATTTTTTTTATCAGTTTACAGTGCTTGTACTGCGAGAAAACCTTCAGAGATAAAACCACACTGAAGGATCACATGAGGAAGAAAAATCATAGACGCATTAACGCCAATAACCACGAATATGACTGCTTCTATATCATCAACTATCTGGTAAATAAAAAAACACTTTTCTACTCTTTTCTTAAGTACATCAGAAAAGTGATGTCTCTGTATGCAACAGTTTCTATTGTTTTTTTTGTCAGTAGAAAAATATAAAATGCTGTAACTTATTAGATAGACTGGGCAGTGCAGTGGTCTTTGTCCAAGGAAGTGGTAGAAATCAACAGGATTTGTTCTCATGAAAACCACGTGAAGAAGTGTATATTCTTGTACAGTTGGAGCAGAAAACTGTTAACTCTTGCTGCCAGTAATCATGGGTATAAAAATGTTAGAATTGTAGATACATTTTAAAAGGGATTAGTTCACTTTATAATGGGTTGGAGGTAGGGATGGGCGATATGGACTAAAAAATTTATCACGATAATTCATAGGTTTTATCACGATAACGATAAGTGACGATATGTGTGTGTGTGTGTATGTATGTATATATATTATATTATATATACATATATATACACGTCACATAGTATTTTAAATGNAAACAGTGGGTCCTCACCAGGCTGTGTAGTTTGCTTCATCTCTAAAGAGATGCTGCTCTTTAATATTGTTTATTTACTGTCTTAGTTTTGCGTGGTTTTTAATTTACATTTTGTTGTTCTTTGTTGTCTTTTTTATTCAAGTGCATTTTTGTTAGAGACTGAAAGTCAATTTTGTTAAACATTCTTTAAAAATTAACGTTTATTGATTAATTACACCTACATATTACGCTTTTATAATTATTAGTTGTAAAATGGTCACCAGGCAATATTATCGCTTATCGAGATATTTGTGAGACAATTAATCGCCCAGCAAAATTTGTTATCGTGACAGGCCTATACATCACTCATATACACACAAAAAAGGATAGAAAGAAAGAGTTTGACCCCTGGATTTATTCCCAATGTCGTCGTATCCCACCTTTAAATAAGGATTTTTGTTACCATACGAAAGTCCCCACCAGGAAATCACAAATTACAATTCTTGGATTTTTCCTTATGACGGGCATCTTGATACTATTTTGAACAACACATATTTTTCCAACACAAGGACAAACAAGTCAAGGACAAAACACTTTAACCTTAGTGAAAATGTTCTTAGCTGATGCTTTGTTAAACCTCTCAACTTTGTCAGCAGTGACATTAGCTGTAGCTCAGTAACCATAGACAACAGGATGATTAGAACTACTTTGGGGTGTGCAGGAAGAATAAAAAAATGATAATAGAAAACTCTGTGATGGACTTGCGACCTGTCCAGGGTGTACCCCGCCCCTCGCACTGTGACTGCTGGATATGGGCACCAGTGACCCACGCAACCCTGAAAAGGAAGAACCGTGTACAGAAAATGGATGGATGGATGGATGGATGGATGGATAATAGAAAACTAAATATGTTCAATAGTTGCCTTCAGGTCCAGGCCTCCCTTGAAAAAAGAGATTTGTGATTTCAATGGGATTTTCCTGGATAAATAACGGTAAATAAATAAGTTTTGACCTAAAATGCAATTATTTGCAGGACTATGTAGAACTATTGAATAAATAATATAAGCAAACAAAACAGAGGCGTTGTACATCTGGATAACATCCCTATTAAATATTTTTTTCACTTGAGTGTTTCTGTATGTTAAAAATGGCTGTGACTACCTACTAGTTTAATAATTGATTAGCAGCTTTTTTTGATTAGTCAACTAATCAGTAATCAAACAATTATTTTATTTTATTGCTAAAATAAATCAAGCTCCTGTGCACATTAAAACTAACCCTTTAAGTCCAATTTGAACTTTAAGTGTTTATGGGATATTTAGATATAGAAAACACAATTATTAACTACATTTAAATGTTTTATTAAATCCATCCATCATCCATTTTCTGTACATGCTTCTTCCTTTTCAGGGTTGCGTGGGTCACTGTTGCCCATATCCAGCAGTCACAGTGCAAGGGTTGGGGTACTCCCTGGATAGGTCGCAAGTCCATCACAACAGGTCGCAAGTCCATCATAACATTTCCATCACACAATGTTGTGATTTTCCATTACAAAATCCATCACACAGTTTTATTAAATACCAAGCATAATTAGTTTTTGTTTTCTCCACGACTCATCGCTGTTGCTGTTCTGCCATTGTTTTACGTGAGTACTGTCCTCCGTATTCATATCTATGCCCTCCTCTGCCCACCCCGAGAGAAGCGGATGTGTTCCTGTTGCACGTACTAGCTCTGCAACCAACACATCAGTGAGCCAAATAAATGACTCTGTAACAGTCTTTGAATGAAAAATATATGAAGGCGATTCGTCTATAATGTAAGACGTGTCCACTTTTTTTTGTCGGCATTATCGATAATGTAGCCTGACCATTGCAGCCCTAATGTGAAATGCTCATGTACACTCAGAAATGAGAAGAAATTACAAGAATTACTCACCAACAGCAATGTGCAAATTATGCCCGAAGCAGGACAGCCTGGCCCACTTGTTCAAGGCGACAGCTTTGACCACGTTGGCTCCACTGTCTGTGGTCAGGCACACCTGTTTGGCCTCGTCAAGTTTCCATCCTTGTAAAAACTGTTTCAAGCCACTTGCAATATTTTCACCTGTGTGGTCATCCAGGAAAAACCTTGTCTGAAGACCACTGCTATTCAAACTCCAATCAGCTGTAATGTAATGCAGAGGTTCCCAAACATTTTGTCTTCTGACCCACAAAATATTCATGGCAAAAACTTGTGACCCCAAATATTACTGGTCTGAGTACACAAACTCCGTTAATAACCCTAAAAACACAGGCTTTTGAC